CTGTTACACAGGGCAGTGGTTCATGGGAAGTAGCTGTTTGAGTGGAACTTCTTGCCAACAGAACATGGGGGGAATGTGGGTGATTTTCTACTGTGTAAATGGCATGGTGGATCCTAGCTGTGAAGGTTAGACCTGGTGTAATCAAGGAATGTAGTTCGTCTGAGCACTTCCCATGGAAATAGCAATAGAGCAGTGAGAGACTCTCCACATCCCACTTGTGAGAGAGAGGTTGGACAGTGGAAAATTGCTTTATTCCCTTGCTTGGTTTGAAATAATTAAAAAAAAAATAAAAGATATTGTTTTTTTTTTATAATCGTTACATTTCTATACATTATATAGCATGCTGGTTTTAAAAATATACACATAAAACCTATTCAATTAAGTTTTCTTGATTCCTTTATAAAGCATATTTTTATTCTTTGGCCAGCAGAAATGTGTAAAATATTCAGTGTTAGTTTTGAAGACTGCGGCTTGATATTATCCTTTTACATACAAATAATTCCTCAGTTTATGGCTGTTTTGAGGATATAAAAGACAGAAAGAAGGATGAATATAATGAAGATATAAATCTTTTCTTAGGTCTTCTGAATTTATTCAGATGTTGCTAAGCTTTAAGGTCTTGGCCTTCTAGAAAGAAAACTGGCTACAATGAAAAGAATGAGAAAGAGAATATTTTTAACCATAAAAGAGGAATTCCAAATCAAGGGTCATGTCTACTGTCAAGTCTTTTGATTTTTCTGGGAGATGCAGTCAGTTGGAGAAATATCAGGCAAGTTTAAACTGATTGATGTTTCTTATGAACTACTCATAAGTGTATCAAGAATTTCTCCTTTTGGTCTTTTTTTTATTTTAAGTTGATTTACCATAATTGTCATTTGTGGGAAGAAAGCCAAGATGGTGGGTACACTGTACTCAAAGTAATCTGAAAGCACAGAGGTACCGATAGATGTTGTACATGTATATATAAATCTGTATATGTATATATTAGTATGTGTGTGAGTATATGTGTATTTCTGTGGGTTTTATATATATATATATATATATATATATATATATATATATATATATATATATATATATAGTCTTCAGATGTGCTATATTTATGGGATAAAGTGCTCAATATCAGAGATAGAGTGTGTAAATATAAAAGTGAACATAAAGTCAACACTGAGAGGCGACAGTCTGTTTCATGCTAGATGTAATCATCAGTCTGACGATTATGTCTAGCATGAAACAGACTGTCGCCTCTAAGTGCTGACTTCTGTTCACTTTTATATTTATATATATATATATATATATATATATATATAATGTATGTTTGTGTACATATATATAGATATATAATGTTTGTGTGTGTATGTATATGTATATATGTAAATATAATGTATATATATATATATATATATATATATATATATATATATATATAATGTATATATATAACATATAAACGGAAAATATATTAAAATAATTGTCAGACTTAATCAATTTCATAATATGTTGTCATTGTTTACATTAAGATATGTTTCATGAGCAGAAATGATTGATTGAGAAATAATTGTTGAAGCTATATGTTTATAAACAATAATTTGGACTTTGCTAACTAGACACTTCTCTGTGGCTGAATGGTTAACAGCACGTCAGATCAAATGATGGTTCCTCTTAGGGTTGCAGGTTCCATTACTGTCAGAGAAGCATATATTTTCTATGAAATTTCTTGAAAATTCAGGCTGGTAAATGTAATTAATACCGTTTAATTAAAAACAGACTATTTACTTAAATAAATTATATCTATAAAAATAACATTTAAACAGAAAATATATTAAAATAATTGTTGCAATTAATCCATTTCATAATAAGTTAGAGTATGTTTGTAAGAAATGATGAAAAAGAAATTTCAGTAAAACATTTCTGAAATGTGTTTTATATGCTATCAAATATAGAGTTTTCTGACTGATTAATTATCAGAAAATGAAGAGTAGATCTATACATGACATTCCAGATTAATGATTTTGGGGAAGTAATAATCATTGGTCAGCATATTGTTGAATCTTGTTAATCCTGGATTCAAGAATTCAACAGTTTTGATGGTTCAGAAAGGTGATTTGAATCTTTAAGTTATGAGCTAAAAATATTGTCAAAAATCCAACATTTGAGTTGTGGGTGGTAATCCAAACATAAAATTTATCTTCAAAATCTTTGAGTCAAAGGAAAATTGAAAAAAATTCTGAGATAAAAGTATTTTTCATAATCTTTATAGAACAGGGGATATTTTTGAAAAGCAAGTGTGAAAATCTGTTTACCATTAAACAAAAAGTAATAATGACAATAATTTACATTAGAAAATTTTTATGAAAAAAAAATTACCTCAATTTTTAAAATCTATAAAAAATTAGATTTTTGTTTTGTTTTTTGTTTTTTAAATGAAGAATAAAAATTATTTTAAATAAGTTTTCATTTGAGAATTTTTGAGAAACAATGTCAGTTATTTAATTTATTTAGTTTAATAAAAACTAAGATAATATTTAGTTTAATATTTAATTAATATTTTAGTAATGTTTAGTTTATTAATTTATTTAGTTTATTTATAAAATCATACTAGCATTGAGTTTGATAAATTTTGGGGTCTGGAGAAATAAATTCTGGTTACCTTATTTTAAAACAAAACATCAGAGAATCTATACAGATGCCTTACTTTAGAATTTTAAAATACTGAAAAATAAAGTATAGCCAGGTTTCATTTTCATTGTTATCATTAATAAAGTACCAGGGTACGATGGATAAATTGTTATTGAAATTACCCAAAAATGAAAATAACACTGGCATCTAATTTTTACAGATATGCAGAGTGCGATGTATAAATTTTCGACTAAATTACCCAAAAATGAAAATAACACTGGCATCTCATTTTTACAGATATGCAGGGTGCGATGTATAAATTTTCGACTAAATTACCCAAAAATAAAAATAACACTGGCATCTCATTTTAACAGATATATTTACCAAAATTACACAAAAATATCTTGAAGTACTAAAGAGTAAATTTATTCAATAAAATTGCCATTGACTTCAACCATGACCTCCAGATGACTTGGAAACTCCTCCAACTTTTCTGGGAGGTCTCCTTGTTTAAGTTGGTGAATGCTGCCATAATCCTTACCTTCAGTTCATCTTTGATGTTACAAGGAGTTTTTTGGACTCTTTACTCAACTGTGCCTTGCACATAATCAAGCAGGTTGCAGTCTGGGGAGTTAGGTGGCCAGTTGTAAGGGGTAATGTGGCCACAGAAATTGTCTGACAGCCATAACTGGGCGGACAGACATAGGGTCTTTCAACAGCCACTTGATCCAGGGTAGCACTACCTCCTCAAAGCATTTGATGTAGGTCTCCATGTCAAGTCTGAGACCCTCATCAACAGATTTGGAAATTCTTTTCTTATCAGAATGATCAGAGTGAGTTTTCCGAGCTGCTGTACTTTCGTAATCACCATTGGATTCATCCAACTCTTTGAATCCTCTGCACTGTTCTCAGATTGATACCCAAACACTCTGAAATGTTTGTAATGGAGCTTTCGGCATGAATGCCAAGCAGTACAACATGCTAATTCCAAATATCTGGCAGAGTGAATTGTATCATGGTGCTCTTTTTTCTCACAGACAGTGCCCAGCTGACTCTACTATACTTTGCAGTTAACAAAATCAAAAACAAACAATCCGCATGTTTGAAATTAAAAATATAAAATGGCGATAATTTCCCCATCGCACCCTCTCTCAGTCTGTGCATATATATATATATATATATATATATATATATATATATATATATTTTTTCCAAAGCTTCATTGGTTTAGAAAATCTGCAATTCCAGCACTTGTCTGATCCTAAGTGAGGTTCAATTAGTGGTAACAATGAGAGATGCAAGGGAGATAACTGACATAGCCTATTAAAGCTATTACTATACAAACAACTACAATAAAATTATTATTTTGCTTAATTTGTTTTAAAGTGTCCTTAAGTTTAAAGAGCTGAATGAACTCACATGAGAAATAATGTTTTTGTAAAATTACTGATAGGGGAACATTTTCTAAACTCAATGTTTGCCAAACGATTATTTCTTTCGGTTATTCACCAGATCTCTGAAAGTTTATCTTCCATAAACAAAATTTAATGTAACCAGAATGAGACAGTTCAGATGTCACGCGTTTTTAGTAGTAAATTTTTGGCTGTTCTTCTCATTATTTCACACTTATTTTCCATGGGACATATTGGTGTCAACCAACTGACACTCACTGCACTTTCCTCTTATTTTTCTTTTTTTTTTCTGTTTCATATATATATAGTATAATATCAAAAGCAAAACTATCACCCAATCAAGTCAACCTTCTCCATTAGTGAAGCTGGTTCACCTATTTCCTTTGCTACTATGCTTCGTTTAGGAAGTTTGAAATTCTTCTTCCTGTTATTACTTGATGAAGGTCATTCCTCTGCTGCTGCAATCAATATTTTGGTTTTTGGTTTTCTTGGTCAAACTTGCAGCTTATTCAGTGGGAAAAGAAAGAAGAAAAATAAAAAACTGCTCTCTTTTTACTCTTAGCATTTTAATTAGTTTAGCAAAAATATAAAAGAGAAAAAAAAATGAAATAATAAAATTATGCAGTTTTACTGGCATTTTAATCAGATCAATAAAATATCAAAAAAGATCAATAAAGGAACTCCAAGAAGTAAAACTGAAAGTGTTGATTTCTTCCATTTTATTGAAATTAAAGTATAAAAACAAAAAATGTAATGATAATAATAATAATAATAATAATAATAATAAAATCTCTATTTTTTATTGCTCTTTCTTTCTACTTAGGAACAGAAATGGGTGAATGACAAAAAATCTTTGTACAAGATATATTCCTAAGCTAAGTTCGCTAACAACACTACCTACAATAAAAATACCTAATATAAATCATTATGGGAAAATGGAACCAAAAAGACACTTCTACTCAAGAATCATAAAGAAACAGTTGAAATTACTTGAATACATAATGAGGAAGGAAGGTTTGAAGAATTTGATACTCACAGGACATATCAAAGGCCTAAAGGACACAGGAAGGCAACAGGTCACCTACATGATGAGCTTGTGTGAATGAAGGGGTGGGAGGATTGGCAAAGGGACAAACGTTAGTAAGAGTGACAAAGAATAGAAAGTTGTGGAAAAGCACAATTGCCCACATCCTGAGGGGACACAGTACATAGAAGAAGAAACAAACAAGTCTTTTAATAACCAACAATTTCTGGTTTTTATAGAACTGCTGTCTTTTGGAATTGATTCCCAAGAGAATGCTTCCCCAATCACTATAATCTTAACCTTCTCAAGTCTAGGGTTAACTGTTATCTTCCCCACATATCTGCATAAACTGCCTCTACCTAGGGTAGACATCATTGTATCAAAAAAAGAACTTGTTTATCTGTGCTGTCAAAATATGACAGCAATATTTCAGTGCTTCCATTGTATTTATAAAATATCAAGAACTTTATGCTCTGCATTTTCTTTATATTATTTATATATATTTATATATTATTTATATATTGTACTTATATAATATCAAAAACTTTGTCATTGTTTTTTTGTTGATATTCAATATCCAATGAATATTAAATTAAAAGTAAAATTGAATAAAGATAACACTAGACCCTCTGTCTTGTCCCCTGGCTATAATTGAAAACAATCATAATAAATGAAATTGATTATATATATCTTTAAACTTTTGTATAGCTATGGAGCCAATTGAAATTTACTACAGTATTTCTAGTATAAATATGTTATAGCATTTCTATGTTATCAGAAAACTTCAACATTGTTTAAGTTTGTCAGTTTCACACCTCAGTGTGATCTTCAGTCAACATGCAGTATTCTTTCCTGTGTCAACACTGTCTATACACACACACACACACACACACACATACACACACACACACATATATATATATATATATATATATATATATATATGTAAATGCTCTATCTCTGATATTGAGCTCTCTTCCCTTATAAATACACCAAATTTTAAACATTTTATGTATCTAGAAAGTACTGTACTCATTAGAGGAGAAAATAACATAATTAAACAAAAAGTTCTTGTAAGTGAAATTATTGATTCTTGCCAAAATATCAACTTACACCCTTGATTTTTTTTTGCCAAATATCTCTTTTCTTAAAAGAAATGCTTTTTTCTCAAGTCAACATACTTATGCATGACCATAAACATTTAAGAAATAAGAAATTAAAAGAAAAGAGTTAACTCATGACCATTAAAAATTAAATAAATAAAATAAAAATACATATAAATAAATCCATAAATTATAATTACATAGAAAAAATCAATAACAAGTAATCTGGCAACTGCATTATACATATAAAATATCAGTAATATTTATGTGGCTCTGTATTTCCTTGTTTGTATTTAATATTTTCTGAATATTAAATACAAACATAAAAATGACTAAAAATAACTGATTGTCTGTCATGTCTCTGTGCTATAAAGGAAAATAATCATAACAAATAAAACTAATTTTTAGTATATACATAAATTTAACCATTTCTCATTTTAAAAATTATATTTATCTACAGTGCCAATTTTTATATAAGAGTTCCTGTAACACTATTTTTAGTATAAGCATGTAACAATAAAACTCATTAACATTGAGTCTCTTTAATTTCTAATGAAAAAATAAAAAATAATTAATTTTTAAATTATTTTTTATTCTATTTCTACTACATCATCAGAAATTATATTGGCTGGTTGCTTGTTTCCAAATATTATGGTCTCTATAGTGGCTAGATAATCCCTGTTGTAGATACATGCTCAGGCACATTTGTGTTTTTTCAACACCCACAGAGCTAACCTGGGGTTTATATGCAACTATACTGAGCAGACTTTAGCTACAGTTTCTGGAAGAGTATGAATAGTCTGGTGTGATGAATGGTTTTGAATAAGGCCAGAACGTTTAAGCCCTTGGTCACGATGACTTGTGACTTTTTACTAACAACAGTTTTGTCTATGCAATTTCATTCACAAGTATTATGTTAATCTGTAGTGTGGTTTTCAAGCATTTCCCAACATCCTAGGATTGTCTCCCCAGGCAGATATTATCAAGAACAATTCCTTATCAGAAGAGTTCAATATATAAAAATGGGCAACTTGTCAACCTCTGTGTAGTGAACTCATTTAGTAACATAAAAAAGATTATATGATATCAATAGATTATTATTATTATCACTATTATTGTTATTATTATTATTATTTATTATATGATATCAATATATTTTGCATGCAAACTGTGACATTAAATGTTTTATTTTCACCATCATTGTTATAAATGGATACTTATTTTCTACAGTAATAGTTAATTTTTTATTCTTACTCTTTATTAGAAAAAAAAATTATTTACTTACCAGTTTTCATCTCAATATAAAGGTCCAAAGCTTTTGAGCAACCTGTGGAGCAACTTTTTTCCTACAATAAATAAATAAATAAAATCAATGGATCCATTTAAATAAATGAATAGAAAGATTATACAGCCAATTTTGAACACCTCCTGAACTAATTGCATATAACTTAGTAGCCAATCAGAGGTGACTTTAATGTGCAGACACTCTTCCATCGGGTTACACACTTGGCAGTAAGATGTCAGCTTGTGTATTAAGTGACCATCATACGCTTTTGCTTGAAACTTAAATATCATATATGGAATCTATTTCTATGATTTTAAAAAAAGCTTTCAAGAAATATTCAATGAATGAAGCAGAGGTAAAATGTTGGGACCAATGTTTAAAAATTGGCCAGGCTTTTAACCTGAATATGTTGAACAAATGTTGGTTGCAATCAAAGAGAATTAGTGCAAGAATTAAAAAAAAATTGGGCTTCCATGGACTGTCCTGGAAGTATCCAGCCAATCTGAATATCATAACTACTAATTCCTTGCTTCTTACTTGGGTCTTTTGGTAGGACATTGTCAGTACCCCAACAATCCAGATGTGACTCCCTGTAACTTTTAGCTTTTGCTAAAGCTAAAAATCCCATATTAAAATGGATATTTCATACAGGACGTGATTAAGGAGAGATTGTGATGAATCAGCTAATAGTAATCCTTAGACTGTTTTGAAAAGTGGAAGGGAGGTTGGGATAAGTATGTGAAATCTCAAAGGACATATTTTAAAATAGACTAAATGTCAAAGTAAATATTTACAAACTAGAGATAAGCCACATTTGGATCTTCACCATATGATCTGGAGACTGGATCGTCACTATATGATCTGGTGACTGGATCCTCACCATATGATCTGGAGACTGGATCAGCAACTCCAAACTGATGTAACAGCAGCAGTCAGATAATATATATATACAATCAACCCTTTCATGTTACGTGATCAGAGGAAAATAAATAGGTCCACTAAAAGCCAACCACTTTGGAGAAGCCTATCTTATGTTCGTGTACAATCTGCTATGAGGAGATATTGATTTTTTTTTTCTTTAAGGGTCCACTACCTTAGTCAGGCAATTTTTGTTAATAGTAAATGATTGTCTCATTTCGAAACAAGTCTCATAAAATGTTTTTAAAGTTTGATGTTTTGGAAATATTCACATTTTTAACAAACCATTCATTTGCATTTAATAACATATAAATTTAGAACAAATTTTACTCTTTTAACATTTGTTAGTAGTAGATGAAATAATGTTCTTCCTTCAACATCAAGCCTTTGCTAATGTTCTAATGATGAGAAAAGTAACAGATAAGTCGACAGATTTAGTATTGAAATAAATTAATTCTATATATTGTTTGACTCAGTGCAACTACAAAGTATTTTCAAAGGCAACTTAAACCATGAAATTAATTCATTTTCTAATAACATTCTACTCTAAAATGAAGCTGGTTTGAGTCACATTGGTAACCAGGTATTTGGACTTTTGGAAATGTAACCAGGTACTTGGATCTTTGGAAATGTGACTAAGTATTTAGATCTTTGGATTTTCTAATAATACTCTACTCTAAAATGAAGCTGGTTTGAATTGCAGTTATAACAAGGTATTTGGATCTTTGGTAATGTAACTAGGTATTTGGATCTTTGGAAATGTAACTAGGTATTTGGATCTTTGGAAATGTAACTAGGTATTTGGATCTTTGGAAATGTAACCAGGTATTTGAATCTTTTGAAATGTAACCATGTATTTGGATCTTTTGAAATGTAACCAGGTATTTAGATCTTTGGAAATGTAACCATGTATTTGGATCTTTTGAAATGTAACCAGGTATTTAGATCTTTGGAAATGTAACCATTTACTTGAATCTTTGGAAATGTAACCATTTATTTGAATCTTTGGAAATGGAACCAGGTATTAGGATCTTTGGAAATGGAATCAGGTATTTGGATCTTTGGAAATGGAACCAGGTATTTGGATCTTTGAAAATGGAACCAGGTATTTGAATCTTTTGAAATGTAACCAGGTATTTAGATCTTTGGAAATGTAACCAGGTATTTAGATCTTTGGAAATGTAACCAGGTACTTGGATCTTTGGAAATGTAACCAGGTACTTGGATCTTTGGAAATGTGACTAAGTATTTAGATCTTTGGATTTTCTAATAATACTCTACTCTAAAATGAAGCTGGTTTGAGTTACATTTGTAACAAGGTATTTGGATCTTTGGTAATGTAACCAGGTATTTATATCTTTGGTAATGTAACCAGGTATTTATATCTTTGGTAATGTAACCAGGTATTTATATCTTTGGAAATGTAAATAGGTATTTGGATCTTTGGAAATGTAACCAGGTACTTGGATCTTTGGAAATGTAACCAAGTATTTGGATCTTTGGAAATATATTTATTTGTGTTTTAGAAAAAAATATTATCTGTATCTTTCTAAAATATAAAGAGTTATTACTTGAATCTTTTAGGAAAAAAAAGAAATGTTATTTGGAATTAAATATATTAAAGCATACATACCTCCATCGATAATGTTGCCCAAGCCTCTTTCTGTATTTGAAAAAGAAAAAAAAAGAATTAATAAAGCAAAAGATAAAGAGAAAAAAAAAAGAATTAATAAAATGTTACTCTTCAGAAAGAATTACAATGGATCTCTTTTTATGATTGATTGAAATTCCAATAAAATCTTTCAGTAATCATATCCTATTGAATCTACATTTGATGGTTTATTAATAATTTTTGATTAGTTGAAATAAAAAGCAACAATAAGATAAAGAAAAGACTAGTTCAAAATTAAGAATGAAGAAAATTTCATCCCAAAATTCAACTATTGATTTTTAAGGTTGAAAATCTTGATTAATGACAAACTGGTCTATATAGTCGCTAAATTACATAGGTAAATCAATAAAACTGTATCCTAATGATGAAAAAAAAAACAAGCATTTTACACAAATATTTCTTTTAGCATAATAATGAGTAGAGAATATTATTTTGATAATAAATATTAATCATATCGATTAAACATTATACAGTGAAAATTTCAGATCAAAATTCAGCTAATGAGTACATCAAGGACTTATCGACCCATCCTCATATGTTATTTAGGTTTTAAATTATTAAGTTAACTTATAATGCAAGAGTAATTTATTTTTATATATTAACATTTTATTATTACAAATCAGTTGAAAAAAAACATGTGGAGATCCATTGTCATGAGCAAACTGTGGCCCATTTGTGTTTCTCAAGTGAACACATAATTTCATGAGAAAAATAATGTTTATTAAAATTTGCTTCATTTCATTCTCACTTGTTCACTCACACATTCTCTCATGCATAACCATATAGATAAACAATGATTAAGTTAAGTTAAGATTGTGGCTGCCAATAATGAATTCTGGTAGTACTTCTAATTCTTCCAGAATTGCTTAACAGTAAAGGTTGAATAAGTTTGGTGAGAAGACACAGCCTTGTCTTACAGCCCTTTTTATTTTTGTATATTTACTGAATTTATTTTCTACCCATGTGCAGGCAGTTTGCTGTCAATATAGATTCTGGATTATTCGAATATCCTTTGCAAATATGTCAAGGTTACCTAGCAATTCCAACGAGGTATAAACCAGCCACAGAAATAAAATGCAAACCTGTTCAGGTATTCATCTGCAACACTTGTTTTATATGGTATAATGCAAGCAGTGAGATTCTGACAATTTTTGAGCCATCATTTCAAAGTGGGCCTTGAAGCCACTGAAGCTAATTATAAAATTCAATGAATAGAACATAATAAAACATCTGACTATCTTACCCTAAAACAGGTTTAAGTATTCTAAGTTTGACCTCTTTTCTTGAAACAAGGCCCAGAAGTGAATAATTATCAGTTGTCAATAATGATCTTTTTCGAATGCAAAGTAGAGAAATCAATCAGTCATCAAAACAGAAAAGGTTGACACAATTGCATGTTTCTTATTTTTGCCTCACAAATTGTCAAGTATGAAATAAGAGGGTAAGAAGTCTTTTAATTTCCAAAAGTTTAATAAATAATACACAATAAAGATCAATAAGCATTGATTTTTCATGGCATGCATTGTTTGTTGTAATAGATTTTCAATAAATTCTGGGTTCAAATAAAGTGCATTAAGAAGACATTTCTTAATTTTTAGTTTTACTAAGCATCCCACCACCCCCATTTATTCACTGGGTAAGAGTACTCACTTCTAGTATTGCTGTTATGGTAGACCGACTTGTTGTGATGTGCACATGATAAATTTATATGAAGTTGCGCCTTTCATTTTCATCGACATAAGAAATAAAGATTTATTAATCCGAATGTCTTACACTCTTTTGGAGGGTGGAAGAAAAAATTTCTTAGAAAAAGCATTCAATGCTAGAGAAAATGTAACAGAAATTAAAAGCTAGAACACTTATTTCCGGTAAAAGAAAATTCAAAGGATAATCTTTGTCACAAACAATTATTTACTGTTCAATTTTCTTTTAAGATTTTAGATTGAAGAACTCTTTTATCTCCAAATCTCTGAAAAAGAAGATTTAGTGGAAGGGAAAGAATTTTGATGTAAAAGTCCTCAGACATTGAGAGATTTTAAACTTCACTGCATAGATATACATTTTCAGCACAAACTACATGACTGATAGAATAATTCCAAGTGCTAGTGATGAAGAAAAACCAAAATACAAGAAAAGAATTTTATCCATAAATGTCACTTTCAGTGTGTCAGTACATAAGATGAAAAAGCAGAAGCAATTTATTTGGAAATTTTACATGTAGAACACAGCTGCTTGTTTTTATTTAGAGTTTCAAATTGATGTCAAAATAGTGAATTAAGAAAGAACTTATTTATTTTTTGTTTTCAGAAAGAAACATTGATAGGCAGCTTATGACATCAGTAAATATTACAAAAATGAAGAAATATAGAAAACTTGAACAAGTTCTTGTTACTGGCTGGTACCATGGAAATTCCGTGGGTGTTAACATTATCTATTATCAAATTCCTTTGATATTCTCACCTTTTACTTTTTATCTTCTCATTTTATCCCTTATCTCTTACTGTTCTATGTCTTTATCTAAATCAATGATTCTTAGTGTAATAGTCACAATCCAAATAAAGATCGCAGATTAGTTTAGGAAAAAATAAAATAAAAAATGTTTAAAATAAAAAATAGGACAATATTTTTCTCTCATAATTTTGGAATATAAAGCCTCATTGAAACTCTGGAACATGAGAAATAGTTTTGAATAATAAAGCATCTATAAATGTATGACTGGTATAATGTATTCCATTCTCTTCACAACCAAAACTTGTATGACAATGCAGATGGCGCCTAATGCAATTATAATATAATTTCTTACTTTTGGCATTGTTTTGGTTGACTGATACAGTAACAGGAGTTTGTGCATTTCATTTTTATTAACCAAAGAAATATTGACATGGATTATTCAAAATTCATTGAAATTTATTGGATAACACTGAAATTGTGTTTTCATTTTGTTCCCCCGCCGTCTCCAAATTCTGTTTACAAAACTGTAGACACAAATTGGGAAACAATGATCTTTGCTTGTATCTACTCATTCTCTCCCTTATCATCTTCAATCTTTGTTGCTTGTTAAAGATCATTGTTAATGTTTTTATGTAAATGTAATATAAACATGGTTCGGTTTCATATGTGAAAAAGGTATGATCAAGTATTTTCTACTGCATCTTCTCTTTTATCGTTTTTTTTTTTTTTCTCTATCTCTCCTTAAATAATGTTTATGTTTCAAAATTTTTACACCTTTCTATCCCCATCTGGCCTTTAAACATTCCTTCTCCCCTTATATATTTATTTTTTCCTTTTACCTGGTTTTTACCTCAGTATGTGCAAAATTTCACAGTGACTTTCCCTATATACATGAATACATACATACATACATACATACATAAATTTACCCCTTTCACACTTACACACACACACACACACACACACACACACACACACACACACACACACACACACACACTTCTTGGTCAGGCTCAGAATTATTCAACACCCCTTTGTGTATACACACACTCTCTCTCTTTTTTTTCTGTTTTAAATATACACTTTTCTCTTGTTGGAACAACAATAATCTCTCCTTTATATATATATATATATATATATATATATATATATATATATATATATATATTGTTTGATAATTAGTATGGATAATTCCAAAGATGATGTAAATCCAAAGAGAGCTCAATGTAAGAACAGAGCAAATAATGATAAAATATATGTAAAATGAACAATATATATTTTTTAAGTATGTTCTACAAATACTTTCATGGCAATCGCTCTGAGGAGCTGCATTCACTGGTTCCCAGACATCATAAGTTCAAGCACCATACAAAGCTGGCATCCCGTTCTCACCCCTTCACTGTCGAAACTCCTAAATGTAGCCGTCTCTTCTACTCCAATAGCTTCATGTCTCGCACCTCTCGCCTTTGGAACTCCCTTCCCTATTCCTGTTTCCCTGTGAGCTATAATCTCCGGCTATTCAAGTGTAATGTCAATCGACATCTCCAGTTGCATTGATCTATCCACTAATCTTCTCCTCATCCTTTCTTCTATCACTCCTATCTGATCTTGCTCTAATTTTTCTGTAACCCCTTGCATCCTAGTGGCTTCCCGCCTTGCTTGGGGTGAAATGCTTTAAAAAAAAAAAATATATAAATGTTACCACCTATCCAATAACCGTTATGATAATAGATATATTATTATATAACTATGTGTGTACATATCTTACATATATGGTTATTATAGGTTTATTTAGATAGGTATATGAGTGTATATACCTTACATAGATGAATATATAACTACATCTGCGTATACCATACAGAGCTATTTATATAAGTATCTGTGTGTATATATTACATACTAAAATATATAGCTATATGTCTGTTTCATTATATTCCATTTAGAGGGATTACTGAAAGATGTCATAAGAAAGTGAGAGAAAAAAATTGAAAGTAAAATGTCCAGAAGCAAGCATAAAAAATATGTCATAAAAACATTTTCCTATAAAATTTTTACACTGATGTATTTATAGTGATGCAGGCAAGAAAAATATAAAAACATTGAGTAATTACCCTATTAGAATTCTAGAATAAGTTTTCTATTCCTAAGCTTTATGTAAATTAAAGAGAAATTTACAAAAAATTATTTAAAAATTTGTTTGTTTCTTGCTTACTTTCTTTTTGAGTTATTTTTATTTAGCACTTTGTCTTTTTTTATTTGTTTTTTATTTTTATTTTTTATTTATTTTTTATTTTATTTATTTTTTATTTTATTTTATTGTTTTTTATTTTTTATTTTGTTTATTTTTTTATTTTACTTTATTTTTTATTTTTATTTTATTTGTTTTTCATTGTTCTCTTTAAAAGAAAAACTCTTTTTCTGGATTTTTATTCCTTACGATTTTATTTCATCTTTTTCTATCTCCAGCCAAATATTTTATTTCTTACTGTGTACTTTTTATTCTTTTATATAATAAG